ATCCCCCTTGGGTCTTCCTGAGGCCCCCTGAGTGTGGACTCTGCTTGTGATTCGGCGGTTTCGACGTCCTCGGGTATCCCTTGGCAGAGGTCCCACCGAGATATGCTTGTTTATTGGCCCGATTCTGGCTTCCCCCTGGAGGCCGAGAATCCACCTTGATGATTGCGGCCCTCGGGTGAGTGCCTAAACCAGTCTTTCTTGGAGGGCCTATGCCAGGGATACCTAGAAGGGTTTTGACTGGGGTTCTGGTCCCCGTACCTGCGACTATGCCCGCTCGCGCTTGCTAACTGCTCAAAATCGTCGAGTCGTCACCGAACCTTGACGTTTTCCTTCTCCAACTGTTTAATGCGTTTGCCCATCCGCTTCTCCACCATCTCAACGATATCACGAGCTATGAGGTCATGCCCCCCAAGGCCCTGATCCATAGGGAGCGTTTGTTGCGAAGAACGCTCCCCTCCACCTGACTGGCTCAATGGACCCGGTTCTAGAACCATTGGAAGCCGGACAGACTCTACGTCCCTTACACACACACTTGCTCCTTCATCCTGAGGTTGGGTGTTCACCATCAGACGATCGCTACTGGGAAAGATGCTCTCGTTCCCACAAACGGCACCAAATTACACGGGATAATTCCTGCAATAATTCGAGATAGCAACCTTCGGCTTGGTGAACCTAAAACAATCATAGGGTCAGAAAAGAGGGTCAGGTGAACACCCGACTTATCCCTTCCGAATCTTAAGTCAGTCTAAGATCAAGGGTTTTAGCTCATTGAATAATCCTTTTCTGGTTCAAGTTTGCGTACCTTTGTTCAATTTTCTAAGGAATATTTATACCTGAATTAGCAATGATTGTCCAAGACCTCCAATCCCATCTGGACATTTAATGTCTAACATGTCATTCCTAGCGCTATGAATGTTCTCCACTCATGTTTTCTCCTACTCAATGCTAGGATGATGGGACGAGTGCTAGGTACCATGCCGAGCATTTATGCCCCCTCCCCGAGTATCCATATCCCTCAGATCAGCATCTGACACCAGCAACTGAGCATTGAATACTCGGGGAAACAGTTCCTCGAGGAGAGCTGATCGTATTATCTTGGCGTATCAACCATTAATGTCTAACCATCATGATAGTAGGCCTAGACTCCCAGAGGGCAGGTGCTCACAGGCGCACATTAATTAGCCTTGTCACCATTACTCATTCTGCCATAAATGAGGGGTCACATCGTATTAAATACGATGTCAGCTGTCGTACTCGACTCCTCCGGGTCACCATACCTCGACTAACTTTCTCGGCGCCTTTTTGACATCACAACGGCTTCATTATCCCATATGTCGATCTGGGGGCTATAGAGCCACCTAAAGTCCCGTCAAATTCCTCTCTGATATCTAACTGATTAGTTAAACTTGGCCTCAGTGCACCAGCGGTCCAACTTGGTCGAAAATTTTCAAAAGGAAGTTTAGTAGATGTGGGTTTAGCCTCCACTCGACTTTAGAACAAAATGGGTCCATCTACAGCACTACTAGGAATACGAAAACTTTTTTAATGAGATTCAGTTAGTTGTAATGGAGATGATGGTAAGTAGGGGGTTGCCTGGATCTTAGTATGTCTTTTCTTTACATAACTTACACGGGAAGCTCTAGACAACAATCCGTTGTAGTCTAGGTGGTTAGGATACTCGGCTCTCACCCGAGAGACCCGGGTTCAAGTCCCGGCAACGGAATTTTTTTTTTTCCCTCATCAAATTTTGTCCATTTACGTGTATATATATTCTCAGTGCTTGTCCTCCGTTCATAGGTTGCTGATGATTCTTTACTGTCGGATTCTTTTTGTTAGCCATTTAAGGCACCAATAATGTTATTGGTACATATTTTGAGGTATAATGTATTATCAATTATTAATTGATAGTTAAGTATATTAATTAATGTTAAAATTTATTGATAATTTAATGACTACAATCATTATATTCATTCAATGATGACAACAATGCAAGAAAAAGATTATTTTGTGATGCATAAATAACTGAAAAAACTATTGCAATACTTATATTTTCCTTGCAATGTAACTGCAACCACTGAGAGTGTGTGTGTGTGAGAGAGAGAGAGAGAGAGAGAGAGAGAGGGGACACATTTGACGCTGCATAAATGTTTTTGGACAGGACTTTTTTTTCTTATCAAGAAAAGGGGTGAGGGCAAAATAAAGCTCCCTAAGACTACCACAATAGACCCACTAGTGAGATCATGGGCCCCTAATCATGCCCATTACTTCTCTCGAAAACTAAACTAACATAACAATCAACCACCGAACTCTGATGTCCAAACTCAAGGTGAAACTTTTGGACACAGGATTATATTTTGCTTACCAGCACCCAAGTGGCTACTCAGGCAGTGGCTAGTGGAGCGAGACATTATAACATAGCAGATGCATCTTAGGAACCCTTTATATATTGACCATAAATAAGTTGGAGATTATTATTCACAATGATACAGAAACCCCAACAACCCCCCCCCCCCCCCAAAAAAAAAAAAAAAAAAACCAAAAAAAACACTAAAATAAGGAAAAACCAGAAAACAAGGGCAAATCTACATTACATAATTACAGACAACCAAACACATCCTCGACCTTCTGAAGGAAACAAGGTGACTGTCGCTCAAACCAAACAGAAAAATGACAACAGGTTTCAAACCAGTTTCCCTATCATATCATCAGTTCACAAATATTGTTACTTGTGAATTCACATCTATTGCCTCCGTGTTTGCTTGCATCCTACCAAAGAACTCGAAGTCCTCCAATATAGAGTATTAGTATGTATCACCTCCTACGGCGTTTTGTATCCACCTGAAACAAACACCCCCATCACATATGGAAGTTAAATACTAGAAATAACCGGGATGATAATAAAGACAACATTGATGATGGCAATACTACTTCCTTATATATGTATAATTTCACTATTTAGTAGATACAAAGATCAAATGACAAGTGAGAAATTAGTGCAGTAAAATGAATTGATCACATGCATGAACTTCGGACAGTTGCAGCAATAATTTGACACGTGCAGCGTTACACAAATGTCGGTGCATCCATATTCCATAACAGAGTTCCTCATTTCCACTGCCTCGTTTACAACAGGTGAAGTATAGGAGGCAAAGAAGCTCCAATCAAAGCCAACAAATGCTATGCAAAGAAGAGAATTATTAACAAACCGGACCTTTGCATTTTCTTGCAATAGCGAACCTCTATAAATTTCACAGAACCTTCGCCTTCCATAATGGTCAGCAATTTATATATATAAAGTCATAATGACCTCGCCACTTGAAAAAAACTTGTGGATGACATTAAGAGATATGGTGTGTATATATATATATATATATATATATATAATGACAAGATGAGCTCTCCACTTAAAGAAAGTGTGTGGATGGGACTAAGAGGAAGGGGGAAAGGTGACGGTTGGTGTAGGCTCTTCACAATAAAGAAAAGAAAGGGAAGAGAAAGAGAATAAAAAACAACACAAGGCTCTCTCTACACTGAAGTTTCGGCTAAGGAGAGGAAGCAAAAGAACAAGAAAAAAAAAAAAAAAACTCTCCACACACACTTGCAAATTTTAGCTAAGAGAGAAAGGCAAAGGAGGTGTTTCTCCATTTTGGAAAAAAATTGGCTAAGATTAAGAGAGTAAGGGTGGAGGATTTGTGGTGGTGCTTGGTGGTGTAGGAAATGGATACAAGAGGTCCAGAGACGAGCACCGCAAAGAATGCCGCACTAAAAGCTCTAGCAGAGGAGTCGTCTATGATATAGAACTTTCCGTAGGTAGGTGCGCTACCCTACGTCTTTATTGATAAATATTTATAAGTTCATGTATATGTTTATGTTATGATTTTGATTGAGAATTAATAACTAAGCGATAAATACTATCGTGTGATGAAAATTGTCCAAGTGACAAGGTAAGCCATTGTGGCCTGGGTGGACCGCACGATGGAACATATGCACATGAGTCGAGTTGCTTGTGTGTACGGTGAATCTACTTGTGAATGTGATCCGTCTATACGATGAAACAGAAAATAATTATGTGAATTGACGAGTGTACGTAACGGAAAATATTAAATGATTGCGAGCTGTCTAAATGACAGACATTAATGTTTCGATATGAGTTGTCTACATGACAAGATATGTGACTTTAGTCGTCTAAGTGACTGACATCTACGTGACAGGATTTGGTTATATGGGTTGAGTCATCCAAGTAACGAGAATTATTATGTGGCATAAGCCGTCTAATTAACGAGAATTATTCTGTGACACAAGCCGCCTAAGTGACAAGAATTATTTATTTGGCTTAAGTCGTCCAAGTGACGAGAATTATTTGTGACTTGAGTCATCTAAGTGACGAGAAAAAATTATGTGGTTTGAATTCCCTATGAGGCCGGGTGTGTGTGTGTGGGGGAGGGGGGGGGGTAATCGTTGTGTGGCATAAGTTAATTATGTAAAAGTAATTATTTGTGTGGTATATTTTGCCTATATGGTATATACAAGTTGTGTCTATGTGATATACACGAACAACGTCTGTGTGAATTGTAATTTGAATGTTGGTAATTGTTACATTGTTAAGGTTGTTCCTAAATAAATAAGTGTTTCTTTATCTCATATTGTGCTCATGATTTCTGATCGCATCCTTACTCTCACTAATGGTTTTAATACCTTTTTAGGAAATCTGTAAAGACGCGAGGAGTCCACTGTTGAGTCTAAATGGTCGATTTGGGATGTCATCATGTGGGTCTTGTCTTTATATCTTTTAGACATAAATTATATATATGAGATCTTAGTTTTGTGATTAATATCACGGTCTATAAATCAGTAGGTCTTATAGTAAGCTATTTCACTAAGGGGTTTGGTGAATATTTGAGTATGTAATTGTATTTATGAATAGTAAAGTGTATATAAAAGTGGCAGGGATATGTGGTTGTTGTAGAGTTTTCTTTATCTTTTGTAATAGATATTATAACCTAGATTGGAGCGCTACGGTCTGTGGGGGAAGGGGGGGATGAGGAACCACGAAGCAAATTGGAATGAGGCGGGCACACATGCAGGTGGAGGAATCTTTCGAGATCCAAAACATCAAAATTTAACTCCCCTTGATGAAGAGGAATCTGGGAATAAGAACTGGTATCTCTTGACTTATTCAAAAGAAGCAATATCCAACAGTCTCTAGAATTAGTCTGCCCACCAAAATAAGAACGTAAGTGCAAGATAGCCTCAACTTGCTCCCATGTTCAAGCGAGACTCAGAAGTATCATGTACAAGTATTCTTACCATGTTTCTGTTACAGCATCCAACTCAAAAAAAAACTGACAATGAATGGAGAAGTTAGTCAAGCATATAAACCAACCGTGGGTAATCCTAATAACTGGATGTGGAATACAACCTCTTTTAATCATATACACTAGCATTGGGTAATCCTAATAATTTGATGTAGTATACAGGCTTTCTTTACCATTTATAGATCATATATTTGATAATTACTTACAACCTTTAGGTATGTTGGACAAATTTTGTTGAGTTGAGTTGAGTTTGTACAACATTCCACTTAACTATCCAGTTGCCAGCTTTATGAGCAACATTTGTCATTTCAAGGAAGATCATACAAGGTAATAAAGAATGAGTTATGAGGCATCTCTTGCTACTGTAAAAGCTGCCACCAATATTAACCCAGTCTTATGTGAATACAGCTCTATATTTTGGGGTACTTACTCGAACTGCTAGTTTTACATTTATACCTTCACTTGAAGACAATTAATGATTTGTTGTGGGCCATTTCCTGTTATGCTTCATTAATGGCTTACAATGTCAGCTGTCCATGGTAGATCTCCACGTCATCTAGTTTGATGCTTAAAAATCCAAATCCTGCAACATAGAGTAGCCCTCTAGTGCTGAAATATTGCAACTCTAGAACATAATTACTCTCCAGTCCTTGACTACATAACAGGGGATAGTACAGCTTCAATTTCTCTAGATTGATATTGGATAGGAAGGTCTGAAGTTGTTTCTTTAATGACTCTTGGAACTGCTTTTACTTGAACTCGTGAAGGTTTATAGATTTTTATGACTAACATCTAATTGGACAAACTTCATTAAGACATATACACCTCATGGCCTTTGAACCAAGTGTCGTCTAAGACAAAGCATTGATGATTAGCATAAGATGCCTTTATAGATGTAGAGACCTAAAGGAGCAAAAAGGTGGATCAAGCTAAAAAGTGACAAATTGGTGTTTATGAGGACCAATGAAAGGTCCAAGTGCGAGAGATGCTTGTTCTAATCAAATCTAGTTGACTTCATCTTTGTATTCAGATTTTCCAAGGTCAGCAAGTCTTTTGAGTAAAATACTCTCAAGCGAGTGAAAATATGCTCCATTCTAATCCATTTCTATTATTCCACTTTGCCCTATTACAAAACTGACATGACATGAAGCAAAATTACTCATGGAGAAAGAGAGCACCGAAAAAGCCTCTTCTCCCCCACCCCCAAGGGGGCGGGGCACGGAAAAAAACTCAAAACACATACCAAAAAATGAAACGCAATCAAAAACAGCAATGCTAAGATCTGTCACAAAACAAGGATCAAAGTCAACAATCTTCAGAGGTAAGACAACACTACTATTACCGGGGCGGAGCCAGGATTTCCTCTTGAGGGAGGCCAAATAGTGGTATAACAATGTGTTTTTACTTTTTATTCAACGTGGATCTAATTGATTGATTGCCTTTCTTTGACGACAAGTTTTAAATCTTAATGCAGGCAAGGAAACATCGTTTTTTAATTATTACTTGCTGGGTTGGAGCGTAGACGAGCGAGCAGAGCCCAAGAAGGAACAGGAAAGCCTATCTTAGAGCAGTCACGTAGAAGTAGAAGACTGCTAGCATTAGAGAAAGCGACCTCTCTCGGGAAATCGTTAATGTTATGACATTTACATGCATAGAATATATAAGAATCAATCTTACACGGCATAGTATAATAATTATTATTTTCAACAAAATGAATAAAGTTAATCGAAACTAGTTGAATTATTAGATGTAAAAGTCAAATCAAGTGCACCATTAATAATTGAAAATAATCTAAAATTTATAAATTTATGCAATACCAAAACTTAACAATCTAAACAAAATGTCACAATTTTAATAGTTAATGGTTACATGGTCTAATCAATAGTCGAGCGGATAAAATAAAATCAAGATTATAATTTAATGTATAAATTATGATTTTAAGAATTTGAGTGATTTATAAAATATGATCAAAATATAATTTTAGGGGTATAATGTATAATTTCAAAAAGTTGAGAGGGATCATGGCCTCCTAGGGCCATAACATGGCTCCACTATTACCAATTAGATACGACATCTTTTGGTAGACTTAGCAAAGCCAATGAGTAGGGTATTGCCTTACACCTTTCTAACTATCATGACATATGTTCTTTATGCCTTTTCTATTTCGTTACACATAAAATTCAAAAATATTCCCTAACCAGGCATTTATTACCTTCTTGACCCACAAACCATATGCACTACTCACTCCTTTTCTATTCTTCTTCAGTTGGTGCTATACAGCATGGCAGGCCTCATGAAATTATCTTGCTTAAATTGACATGTATATGGGGATACCATGTAGCTAAAAATTATCGTGGTTCATGAAGTTGTTGTTATATTAATAACTTGTCAAGATAGTTTTCTAAGTGAAACCTTTATCAAGTATATATGTATGATCATACAAACTCATTTTATTTCATGGGCTTTTCACATGAAGAAATTCACCGAATATAAAGGAAGGCAGATAATCAAGATTAAATTGATTTTAATAACAGATCGAATGAACAACAAATCAAAGTAGCATTTCATATTCAAAAATACATGTAAACCTAATACTCAGAAAAATTAAGCAGTAAAATGAAGTCAGAAAGAAGTGCTTATTATTTAAGAATTAATTACCTTCGTATCTGAGTGTCTGGAAGCAGCATGAGAATTCTGCAATTTCTTTTGATCTTCAGAAGAACAGCTTTGGCAAAAGAAGTGCTCAAGTCTTGCAGCGTCCTCTGGGCCCATGTCTATACAAGTAGGATGAAACCTGAATCAAAAGTAGCATGCTGAACATTTGACATATATACCACAAATTTGTGATGTGATGTTTGATGATAGACCAAAAAACTAGGCTCAAGATTGCACGTCAAAGCTCAACCTCAGAGAATTGGTGCAATATAAATGAGGAGCAAACTTAATTCCAAGTAACAGATTTCATTTATGACATGCATTCAAACACAAGATTGAGGGAGAGGATTTTCCCAATAAGGTGGTACTTAAGGTCACGTTCTTTATTTCTTCCTAATTGGTTTTATACCTTTTTTTTCACTCTAACATGGTAAATCTTATGTCATCCAAGATATCATATATAGGATCATTCAAGACTACTTGAAGTTAATGGGTGAGGACCCCGAGAAAACTTCCACATAAAATATTAAAGGACAACAGAAACATTCCTGCATCAGTTTCTTTCATTCAGAGAAAGAGATAGATATTTCTTATAAAATATTCCTGTTTAATATAATGAACTTTATTGTACATTAACTTCAAAACAAAAAATTTAGAGATGACATGCTGAAGCCTGGCTCTGCATCCAAAAGAACTGTAGTATCATTTAATAGGTTGATGAAGAGTACACATATGAAGAGAACCAAGGGCAACACTATTCAGGTCACAAACAAACCGAGCTTCGTGAACAGCTTGGACTCAATTCCATAGTAGGGTCACTCATGTTCATCTCTATGATAAGCAACCAAGCTTGAGCTTGAAATTGTTTAAACTTGTTGAGTGAGTGGTTTTAGCCTGAGCAGGCCAAAACTCAACTTAGTCCAATTTGTACACACATGACAATGGCAAGTTTGGTAAATTTTATTCAAGCTCTATGCCGAATTGTACCAATCCACAAGAAAAATTAATAAACCAAATTTTGCATGAAATCCTAACATTGAAGGCATATAGCTTGCAGCTAACGGCATACATCAAATGACCATTTTTTTTCCCATTCCTTCAGCTTATCCAATCTTGACGGGGTTCATCATGGATCTTGCAGTACAAATTTTTTTCGTTCTTGAATTTCCATCTTCATAGAATTTAACTATTATGATATTATGTTTTTGTCACAATTAAAAAACTTAAAATGAGATTAAGTAGCTGAGACAAAACTTATAATGGTATTAAGTAGCTTTGTTCCTGTCCCATGCATATTAATGAGGTCTATCTTTTTCCCTCATATCCAAATAAGACATGCTGGATCATGAAATTTCTATTCCTATCTTGTAAAGCATACTTTGACTATCTTTTCTGATCACTCCTTCCTTATAATTTGGATGCCACCTGTAGTCTCTGATATCTAAGGTTTTGGTTTGGGCTCACTAAAAGAAAATACAATGAGATGTTCCAGCCACAACACCTAACAGAACAGCAACCTCGATATTTATCACTAGTTCAAGAGAAAAAATGAAGCCCATTTGCCCAATATAGTTTGCTCCTAACCAAGGACATTGCTATAATTATGAGGAGGAGCTCTTTGGTGGGGGATTGTCAGCTGGGAAGAGAGTGAGGGTTAATGCTTCATGGCATAGCTTTTGATTATTTGAATGGATAGGAAGCCTATAAATTTTGGAAGGACAATTTCTTTCTTCAAGAAGATCTAGGGGTGGCTTGACACATTTTGAGGCCTAAAGCAACAACTATAATGAGGCCTTTTATTTGTAATATTAATAAAAATTAAATATAATTTATTCTTCTCACCTTTTGAGATCCAAAAGTAATAATTAAGTTTTTATATTAACGTGTAGTTACAATATATTTTTTAATTCATAGGATTGCTAATTCACTTAATCTTTTATGTGACATAAACGATGAAGATTTTCATGTTCTTTAAACATTTTTCTTTGTTTTACGCCATGATTATCATATTACAGATTTGATTACGATAGTGAATATTTTTATTAGTATCTTCTTGCATGGTTTCATTATCTTTTAATTCATTGAAGTTCATTTAAAAAAAAATTCTTAATTTTTTTTTTACTAGTAACAAATTTATCAACAGATTTTTTTTTAGATTCCATTAATTGTTTTTTTTTTCTCTCTTTTATTTTAAATTTTTTATATTTGGATGGTGAGAGAAAAATAAAATGCTTCCGTTAGAGAGAGAAAGAGAGAGATTGAAAATTATGATGGTAAATTTGGACTTACTTTGACTTTTGAGTGCTTTTATTGTACATGTAGTTTTTTTCCAGAATTTTGAACTTAGGGGCTTTTGATTTTATGGGCTTAATAATAGGCCCAACCTACTCAATTTAAAAAAAAATAATTTGGGCTCAAACATGACTTATATTTCTTATGAAGTTAGATTTTTTGTTTAGACTATTACTACACAATGTACAAACTCAAAAATTTAGGGCCTTCCTTTCAAGTGAGACCTAAAGCCCAAGCTTTTTTAGCCATACTATTGGGTCGAGCCTGAGAAGATCACGTATGGTTAATTCATGGCTTCTATCTAGAGTGAGTCATCAAAGAATTCAAAGGCATGCTATTGTCATCAATTTTCACCGACATTACACAAGGAGTTCAACTTGCCAACAGTTTGAGGCCAATTCTCATACAAAAGTTCCTCCTCTATGTCGAGAAAAAAATGTTATCTTGATTATCCAAACAAGGTTGGCACTGAGTTACGAATTTACAGATGACAAGATTATGATATTCACATTTACTACATCCAACTAAACAAGCTATACTACAAAGACTAAGAATTTGGCTTTTCTAAAAGAAATATTCACCAATTCGTGTAAGTATGCTTGAAATTTGGTTACAGGTTAGACAAAGACCAGATCCTTTGTTGGTTGGACTCTATCAACCTCAGAAAATTGCTTTTGGATATTTCAATTTGTTATTGATAGAAAGTAAATGAATCCCAACAAAGAGCAATAAGGGATCCGCCTCTTCTACTTATTACGGTTTTGCACTCCCTATTATCTTGTGATAAATCAAAAACTGTGATTTCTTTTTTGGATCCGTTTGCTTTCTTCATTTGATTGAATTTCTTTTGATTATCTCTCATTGTTGTCAGGAATCCACATCTTTGCAGCTCGATATCCCTTTCCTTTCTCTTAATAAATCATATTTTTGTGATGTTACAAATAATTTGTTAATAAACAAGTGACACGTATATAATAGCTGAGGAGCAGCCTATAGATTTACGTAAACAACAGGGTTTTGGATCTTTTGATAGAATGGTGATACCAAGCTATAACAGGAGTATCCAGCAACAACATAGTACCTAATTTAACTGGATAAAGATTTAAACAAACTGTTTAGGGGAAGATAAAATTCCTAGATTGCTAGTATGCTATATTTAGATCACAGTTATGAATTTAGCCTTCAAATTTGTATTAATCTAGAGTTGCCACAAGAATATCTAAGGGTAGTTTTTTTTCTAGCGAAGCCATTGAAGGCCAATCTATCTCGAAAAACTAATCAACTTATAGATTCTACACTAATGTCATGTGTGAACTTTGGTTCCACCCACTTTTGAGACAGTCATTAGCCCCTGTAAAACTGTGTGTATTCCAAATATGACCTGCCATATAAATATGCAGAAGACCTCAGCATAGAGTGAGAAAGCATTTTAAGCTGAAAACAAAAATTGCACAATAATGATTAAGATATTCGCGATCACCTTGTTAGTCAGCAATTATCCTGCTTCTATATTTCCTATTGTATCTCCTATAAAATTTTAAAAATGGATACAGATTTGAATTACAGGGCAAAAAGGTGTCAAGAGAACTGATAGCTAGTTAACAAGTATTCTCTGGCAAACAAAATTCTCCTTGAGATGGCAAACTAATTAGTTTACCATTTCAAGAGAGTCAGCAACTTAATAAAGAGAATTGCAACCAAATTCCTCACACAAGGTACAAAATCCATTTATACGGTCATACGAGCATACATACAACTCACATAATTATTGTAGATGCAAGCCAACAACCAATTTTACCAAGCAAAGCTGGATCCTTAAAACAAAATCGTTGATGGCAATACCCCCCACAAACAAGACTTGAAGCAAACCAACTCCATACTCTACTCAACTCAATAAGCATTATCGCCAAATATGGAAGGCCGCCTAGGAACTAAAAATTCTCTTCCATTTCCTGACATTTGTACCTTAATCAGCATGATCTCTATTTCCCACGTCAATAATTTCAATTGATTTGGTTTCATCTGTCTACCTTTTCATAAGATCTGGCCAATAAGTTTGATTAATCACCATGTCTGTAGCCTACTAACTCAGACCAAATTAACATAAATATCCAAGCTATGAGTTCAATGGTCTCCACTTTCTTTGGAACAGATCTTCTTTAGAAACTTAGACTATCTAAAACAAGTACTATAGGATTAAACTGCAGACAATGATATGTACCACAAGGAAAATAATACACTGAAACAATAATTCTGAAATCCAACTCACCAATCAGAGCAGCCTTCACATTGAATCATTAGGTCATCAGGATTGTAAGGCATCTCACATTTACAGTACCTGCAATATTAAATGAACACAGCAAAAACAAACTCACTCAAGCAGCAATACATTCAAATCAACCATTGCAATTTCCAAATTTTTTGAAGAAAAGAACATAATAGCTCATTCCAATTTTGCAAGACACACTCAAATACTACGAAAATTGAATCATTATCAAAGCATTCAGACCATTCCAGCTAGGTAAACCAAGGAAGTAGAGTCCGACAACCAGCTCACAAATCTTGGATTCACTTGCAGCGAACTCACAAATTGAGTTTCTAAGGATGTTAGAAATAATATCTAGGGTCATGTTTGAAAGAAGAAACACCCTAACTCTGTAGCAACAATCATTATTGATATGGACATACTTGTAGCCTAGCCATTCTAAATCCAATAAAATTGAATAATAAATAACCTGATTTTGCCACTAAACTAACAAAATCGTATTTAAAATCCTTCATCGAATTACGAACACACAATCCAAAGACAAACGCCACTTTCAACTGCTTCACAAGATTCAGAGAAAGAAATAAGGCTGCTTCAAATTAAGCCACAACTGATAAATGTATGAACTATTCACATCAATTGAAATAGAACTTGAAACGAATTATCCAAATATACCACCAATTAATCAACATACACGGCTACTCTATCGGGATTGAACGCTCCGGTAGACGAATTGTACTCAAAACGGCAAAAGAAATCATCATTGCCTACAGCATCCAGTTTCGTATAGCTCTTGAAGCTATGCACCGTACACTTCCCCTCTATCGTATCAGCGCTCTGAATATCATAGTGATCGGAGAGAAAGACCTCTTTGGAGCCGTGAAACTGTCGCCGTCCGCCAATCGACTCCTCCGGCCGATAGTACCACCGTACGTGAACCCTCACGTTGACGCCTCTACTGTCCGACTCGATCTGCTCTACTCTTGCCACGTATGACGGCTTCGAAGAATCGGACGGTCTCATCAACACACAATCACCCGCTGTGAACAGTTCGCAACATGCGCAAGTTAGAATTTCCAGGAAATTTTGATAGAAAACGAAAATTGAGAGAGAGCAAACTTACGTCGGATAGTTTTGTTGATGCCTTTGACGGTGTACGAATCCAAGCTTCGGCGAGTGGCCCGGGCTTTAGCCATGGACCGAAGAACAAAGAGTACGAAACTTTACATTCGGCTGAAAATTGAGAGGAGAGAAAGAGAGAGAACGGAAAGTATTATTTATTTATTTTACGGAACAAGGATTTCACTGAAAATGCATTTTATAATCCACAGTTTTTTTTTTTTTAATGTGAGAAAAAGGGAGCAGTGATTCAGTAAGTAATAACCCTGTGTGTGACCATGAGTCTCCTCTTCCGTGTGGAATATCCTATTTAAGTCATGACTATTAATTTAGAAACATAAGATATGTTTGTTAATCCAAATATAATACTCAAAATAAATATATTTGACGTTTATTAATTAAATTTATTTGATAATTAAAATTTAAATTCTCTTAATATGTTAAGTGTTTTTTAAAAATAGGCTACAATATTAAATAAGAGATCTCTTACTTAATTTAAAAAATTGAAAGCGTTCAGTAAAATTATCTTTAATAATATTTATAATATAATAATTATATCCCGAAATATTTTATAATTCTATTAAAACTCTAATTAGTCTTTTATCTAAAAACTCTAACCTATTTATCCTCTTTACGGAGCCTTTTTTTCAACAACATGTAAGCCTTCTTCAACCATTACCTTCCACCGTAGTAGTGGTGGTGGCGAAAGTATTTTTAATTTTTCACGAGCAAAATAATTACGGATTTTCTTTTATGAAAAAGTTTAGCATTGTAATTGGCGTGACAAAAATGCCAATTATTGCACATAACACGGATAAGGTGAGGGTGTATACTAAATGGTGAGCCGTCAATGTATCTAATGGGGCACGCACTGTGACTATGCATTTGACTTAATGCATATCGAGATCACCTATATACACTAGTTGATTAAAAATATCCCGACTTTGAGTATCATTCTACACACTAGTTGGTAACAATGTCCTTTTCAATTTTTCTTTTTTTTTTTTTTCCTCCATTTTCAACTTCAGCTTTTAGACAACGTTGAGATTAAAAGCAAAGGGGACCCCCTAGCCTAGGTGCCCACTAGCAGAACCTTTATGCACCACATTAATTTGTACCATTGGATTAGAGGATTTTATTAAATTTATTAAATATTCAATAGTCAGGATCACTTCACATTAGATAATAAGTTAGAATGCATAACATTAGTGATAATCGATATCTGCAATCCCACATAAAGAATATAGGTATCGATATATTGTTTTTTTTTTTTTTGTAGAAAATAATTTCTAATCATAGAATTTAATTGAGTTATTTCTAATTGTTGATTATGAAAATAATAAAATAAAAACATCTCACATTGTTGTTGGATAGGAAAAAAAAAGTAGATACCGTAATTGGACCGATATGGTACACTACTTGGTAGGAGTGCCCCCCACGACAACAAAAAAATCAATGTTGTGAAAGGGTTGTGTCCTACTTGTTGAAAACCCCTTTTTCAAATTAGACGGACGAGTGAGATTAACGATTGGTCTAATGATTATTATTTTTACTATTACACCTTAAGGTCACAAATTTAAACCTCATCGTCCCCTCTGTGTAATAGTGTCTGACCAAAATTAAAAAAAAAACTAATAGAGGACCATGATTGGTCAGTCTAACATTATTTCTAAGATAAGTTACACTTAGTTGGGGTTTGATTTCCCCAGAGTTACAAAAAAATAGTAATCTTCAGCATGAAAGACACTGATCTTATTTCCATCAAAAGATTCAACCAGAGCAATGGAACTCATTGTCATATCATTCTATCCCTCTGAATCAAAATTATATCTGGTGGAATAGATATTACTGTTGTCCAAGTCCTTCAACTATGTACACCGGGAACTGATCTTTTCACAAGAGAAATCTTTGATGCAATTCCACCAATTTCTTCAAAAACAACCAGTAGATTTCGGGTTGGCTTCAACCAAGACCGAGGAACATGGTACCTGAGTATCCAAAAATTTTCAAAAAGGACTCAGATGGAGGTGTATATCCTCTTTGCATTAATCAGTAGAATGAGTTTTAGACCAGTTTATACCATCTTTGAGTTGGTTGGCCACAACCAACTTGGCACTTTGTAGGTCGGAATGTCCCCGAATAATTGCAGCCACTGCATTTACCATTTGCATTAGCAGTCCAATATCTCCCAATGCTCTGCCCATTGATCCATACTTGACCTTTTCCCATACTATCCATGTCCAACGCCAATGGCTCATCTCCTTCTGGTGCAGCAAAATATGCCTTGCAAATAACAAGAAGAATTACAAACCCAAAAAAAATGTGATGGTATTAAAATTCAAGACATTCTAACAAGTTAAATGCAATGGCTTAGATTGCATTAGAACTGCACTTTTTCATTTGTGTGGCCAGACTCCAATTACATATAACCAGGATGAAATCTGGATTGCCTAGTGTAGTGTCAAACAACTGTATCATTATTCATTCTTGTACATTATACTTTAGGGATAAAATTTCGTTTTGTTTCATTTCAGTGGAAGGACTCATTGATGGAAAACTGAAATTCCCGGTTTCAAAATATTTCAGAATGTTTCAGAATCAAAATCTTTTTATGTTTCCATTTTGGAGATAACCTAAAGCGAAATTTTGGTTCTTGCTTCTATGAACTTGAACCTGATATATAGAAGTCTCGTAGTATAAACAAATAATCTCTTTTTTACATGTTCTGAACGCCAATCCCCCCAACCGCGTTGCAAGTCTTTTGAAAATGTTATGCTGAACTGTAAATTTTATTCATTCTTCACTTTGAAATTTCAGTAGTTTAGATTAATCTTTTTAACTTGTTTCAACATGCCCAAGCATTCACCACCTCTTCTTCCTCAATAATAGCACCAAGTTTAGGGGCTTTGACATTTGGAGTTCAACTTGCTGGGCATTAGAAGTCAAACGCCCTTCAAAAGGCTAACAAACCGTACTGACAGACCTGAATTTTGTAAAGCATGATATACTTGCACATAAGACTATAGGAGTCCATTTAAACAATTTCAACCATTCCCATTGTTCAAGTGATTTATAAGAGAAAGTAACACATATAAATTTGAGACGCTGGAGAGTATTTTGTGGGATTCCCAAGCACTATATTATTTTTTTAAAAATGCTTAAATTCAACTAAAATTCAAGATCGGACTTCACCTATAATTCTAATGGCTATGAGACACCAAATCGGCATTTTATTGCTCTCAACATTAAACAATCCCATCCGTAAATACAGTTATTCTTACGGAAATATGCAATCATGTACAAAAGCTAAGTTAATATCCATACCTTATACCATGTCAGAGGCTGTTTTTTGTGTGTAACAAAGGACCCTCCCATCCAATCAACAGATGATATTCCACTTGGAGAAACTAGATTCATAGCTTCTCCTTTGAGCCCCACCTGTATAAAAGAAACACTTTGGGGTTGGGGGTGAAAATTTATCAACTAAATAATGCATTATTGTTGGATATAAAAGTGAAATTCATGAACCTGGTATGACCATTTCTGCCAGGACAAGTCCCTCTTCCCCTGGGCTAGTCCATATAGAACCACTGGTCCCAAGATTCCTGTATTCCACGTCTCAAAATGTGGCCCATTGTTCTTCAACCACAACAAAAGTCAAATAAAGGAAAAACCAAGTAAACCAATTAATGCTGTCGAGAAAAGGTTCAAAGTGAAGCATAAAATCATATATGTAAAATGGCTAAAGCAACTGTTCCGAAGTTACTATTTCGATTTTGCAGAATTTTGTGATGCATTGAAAATGCTGGTTAGAAGAAATTCAGGAGGTTGAAAATGCTTTTCAGTTTTTATGATAAAGTGACAGTTATAACTAGGCCAAGTAGTGTTTGCATAATTGTCGTTGTACATTAACACCAGTGAGTTGTATTTAGGTACTCAAACCGGGGGAAAGATGTGTTAAGCAACTAACTGGCAATCCAACGGCTATGCTAAGTAATGAAATTCTGTTTGTTCCAGCTTTCAGGTTGACATTTCCAGTAAAAGTGAATCTTCTGGTTTCCCGAGTTCCAAAGGCTGAACCTATAATGGAAGTACAACACCGGAAACTTTTAACATGTCATAGAGTTCACAAAATTTTATAGTACTACTTGACAAGAAGGCAAAATAGAGTGAAAAACAACACAGCAACAACTTGGCCAAATGCACCTGAAAGATGCCCATTGATAAACACATGTAAGGCATGGCCTGCTGATTGCACACTGAGAGTCGGATGCTGGCCTCCATGTAGAAACAATTCAGATGGACTTATCTCGACACTGAAAGTTGATTATTTCAAATAATCTTGGTTGCAATGTATAAATGTCCAACTACTCTGGCCAGTAACAATATTTTGATCAAACTCAATCTCACCTGGTCATGTACCAGAGATAGTCGCTGGTATCTCTAGTGACATTTAACTGCTCCAAGAGACCAGCAACAGTGAACTTTGAATCCTTGTCAACCGAGGATATATCTTCATTGAATGTTTCCCATGAGAGCAACTCAACATTAGTAGGCAACATTTGGGCCCGGGTTGTTTGAAGTCCAACCTGCAAGCCAGAGAAGCAATCATTACATCAACTAATTTTCTAAGAAAAACTTTGATATGAGGAAAAATAATCTAGAAAAATTTTCTCCCAACGATTGGTTAATTTAAATCTACACCTACTGCTGGGCAGAAATTACTAAGGAAAAAAATCAAATGAGATTTGTAATCAAGGTGGTAATGAAGGAATGTTTCAGAAGAGGGAACCGTATAGTATGTTTATTTTTAGAAACCAATTTTCTACAAAAAATCACTGAAACCATCAACTATCCTGCACAACCAAGTGCAGCCTTCAACAATTACTATTTGTCCATGTTACTTACCCTGGCAGTGTTAAAGACAACATTTTTGCAATCAGGAAGAATGCTGATAGACCAAGGTGGCAGATCATAGTGCAATTTATTGAATGTCACCCTTGTGGTGACGTCCATATGATAATTTGAGAGGAAAGCTGCACAATCTCCTGACTTGGAAGAAAATACATGTGCCTGGAAAGTGTCGATATTGAGTCAACTTGATCGAAAAGAAGCAAGCATGAATGCAATCATCAGAACTCCCCAACACATCCTTTAAAGTTGAGAAAGCCAAAAGACCTGTTCATAGCTTCCCAAGGAATTAACAGTGGGATCAGCAGAGACTAAGGCCTGCTCACATAGCTTAATGGCCCTATGAAGCTCCTTCAAATGATCATACTTGGGTTGCCTAATCAAGCCTATCCATTCACATAGTCAAGCAGTTAGTTCACAACTTTGTAATTTTGGGTGTTAAAACTATGGACGTATTTTCTGACCATATTCATCAATTGGAGCATCATAGTCATAGCTGGTAGTGATAAAAGGGCCTCCAGCTGTTCTTCCAAAGTTGGTTCCTCCATGATACTGTTGAAAAACAACCAGAACAAGAGTTTGGTTGCTCAAATAAGCTTCTGCCTTTATCTTACTGATACTGCTAAAGAAGTGAATAGCACAAGACCAACTGGCTCCTGACAAGCACTAAATTACTCTAAAGTGACTGCACAAAAACAAATTGCTCCATGAAGTGGTAGGAATGAGACGATTTTTGGATTAAACTATGAATTCCAAAATTAACCTGCTTCAATTCCAAACTTTATGCATTTTTAGCAACCAATCAGGGCGTAAAGGAGGTTGTTTTCCCTCAGCTTGGATAATCTTTTTTTTTTTTAATCATGCTGTGTTTGAGTGATAAGAAGATACAACAAGAAATTAAGGATTAAAACATAGGATTATTTTTCTGGCAGCTAAGAGAACAAGGTCCAAAAAAATAACAGAGAAATTTTTTTTCTTTTCTGGCCCTTAAATTTTTTCAACTCGACCAAATGGATCACCAAACACGACTTTTCTCTCAAAATACATATACTTTTTAGCATTCAAGACAGCAGTGTAGGGAGTTTACCAGTTTTAGTTTGTAGATATGCTGTCCTATTTACCAGATATCATTCATGGAATTGTTAAAATCCGAAAAGTTGAATGGATACTGACCATATAGTAGTTTACTAAGGACCCTCCCTTTTGAATGAACCGGGCAATTGCAAATGCCAAATCTTCAACTGGTCGCTGGTGAACTGGGCCACCAAAATCTGCAAACCTTTAAGCACACCAGACGTCAAGTAATATTACAACCCTTATGGTGGACTCAGGAGACTGATGGCAGATGCTGAACTTACCAGCCGCTCCAAGCCTCAGTCCAAATTGTGGGTTTGTAAGGTTTGTTTGGAGAGAAATAATCACAATAAAATCCATTGCATGTGTTGATCTGTCAATGAAATTTGGAGCAATCGGAGTTGAAGTTTTGCAATACTAGAGGAGCTCACTTGGAACTCCAAACACCAAACACCAACTGAAAAAGTCTAATGACGATAGATTTTAAGAGTAACCTCAACCAAATTGGGTCAGGGACTAAATTGGATCATGACATTTGAGAAGATATAACTATGATCATTTGTAACTTATTGATTTATACAAAGATATGTAGTTAAACTAAAGCAAGATCTCCTTGCTGATTGCATGAGATTGCTTACCACAGGATCTGGAGCATCGTCCTCCTTGCACATAACCCATGGGACCCCAGTATGCAATTCAGCAGCCATTTTTGCAGCCCAAGTCATGTAGGCATAACCAGCTGCACCGTATGCCTTGCTTTCTGGCCCATACTCATTCTCAATCTTCACAAATACAAATTTACATATTATAGCAATTTTGGATTGAAATTGTAAACTTCTAACTTACCTGAATCTAAATCTGTATCAGTTTTTCTGCCTTTTATGTTAATGGAAATAGAACTAGTAAAATAGTCAGCATATGCCCAAGAACTTTTTGGTGTTGAAAACCTTAATGTTGATTCATGACATAAATACACCAAAGATATTAGCAAAGACCCTAAAGCTGTACCTGAGAGAGGATGATAGGGCCACCTTGAGACTCGAATAACTTTTCATTCTTCATCATTTGGACAATTTTTTGGGTGAACCCCTGCATTGCCATCTGCAACACCAATAATTAACTTAAAAAAAAATGGAAAAATTTACAGAAAATTTTCTGCAAATTAGTATGTCAAGGCTTTATCAAAAAACATATACTTCACCATTAGTCATGTTTTCTTGCTTCTTGCTATGTCTATCACAAACACACACACACACAGTGAGAGAGAGAGAGAGACCTTGAAAGGTTCATTATCTGTTCTGAAGCTGATGCCAGGCACATACTTCAACCAAACAGGAAATCCCCTAGAACAAAAACATTCAATAACAGAAATTAAAGAGAGAAAATTCCCCTTCTTGAATCAGGCTCCAAAATGATTCTTACCCAAAATTCCACTCGGCACAAATAAAAGGCCCAATGCGAAGATTCACATATAGTCCTGCTTTCTGAACAATCTTTATGAACTGAACCAAGTCATATCTTCCCTCGAAGTCATACTAAAAACCCACAAAATAAGACACATTTATTCACAAAACAGGAGAAAGATAATTAAAAAGAACAACGATGGAATGCAAGAACACAGAAAAAGCAGAGTATTGGTAAAGAAAATGAAGAGCAAGCAAACTACATTGCCAGGTGAAGGCTCATGAACGTTCCAGAACACGTAGGTGTCAATAACATCTAAGCCTCCATCTTTGGCCTTCTGTATAAGCCCTTTCCACATCTGCATTGTACCCATCTTGATTAATCAAATAAAGTATAAAGAAAATATCAAAGAAAATAACATTTTCTCAAGAAAGTGCAGGAAAGAGAAGGGAAAGTTTGTTACTTCAGGTGTGCTTCTTGGGTAATGTATGGACCCAGAGAACAAAATTCTTCTCTGCCCATTGATGATGAGCGCCTTCCTGTCATATGTGACACTGCATTGTATGAGCTGAATACCCAAATTCAAAAACATGCAGAAGATAACCCACTTGGAAGCCGAGCTAGCTTCCATATTTGTCACCCTCTCTCTTCAAGTGGAGGGAAGGTGGAAGAAACACTTTTTTATGCAACCCTGTAAAAACAGAGCACTGGCATGAACTCAAAAGGCACAAACAAGTGTGGACAGAAAATCAAGAACACGTTTTGGCAACCAGGAAAAATTAAAGGCCTATTATATTATGAAATCATAAGGTTTTTTTTTTTTATTATTTTTTGATCTACATAATGGTTTTTATTTAGACAACCCAAAACTATTATCTAGAATTTTATAAGCTTACAAGTAACATGGATCCATAAATTCATATGTCTTGATATCTTGACTTCAAATTTTAACGGGTTAAACTACGAGAATTTATGCTTCATGAATATTTAATCCCGTCCAGATTTTGACTAGATCGAATAAAAGATTAGTCAAGATATATGTAAACTAACCTGAACATCTTGACCCAAAAAATAAAAAAAATTTACAAGCAACCTCGTTACCGTGTGGGTGTAAAGTTATACTATTTATGAAAGAAGATGGTCTCAAGATTTCAATGGAATATACACTTTCATGTGTGCATAAATGGAGTCATGTGAAAATTGTTAACCACCTAACCAACAAGTAATAATGGTGCCATAGAAGCATGTTATAATTATATAAAAGAAAGAATAAATTTCATGTACAACCACATAATTTGTCAAACCCATATAATCCCAGACAAAAAAGTCTTATTTTAATCATTCCTTATTAGCATAAATCTACTACTATTTTTCAGTTTAAAAAATTAAAAAAAATACGAAAAAATTAATGGGAAAGTGAGTCTTTTATGATTGACCTTAAAAATCAATTGTAGGACATAGATTACATGTTCTATCAATCTACCCAAAAAAAAAATGAATGAAATGAATGAAAAATCTACCAATGATAGAAGTTAAATATGAGGCATGTTTTGCAATACTTTAAGAAAAATTGAGGCTTTTTTTTTTTGATTCGATGATCAGAAATGTTCGGACCAGTTTACGTACACCTCGATTAATTTTCTCTTCAGTCTAATCAAAAATAGGTCATCTCCGCCGGGATATTTATGATAGATAAATCCCTCATAATTTGGTCTCAAAGTGTTGTCAAAATTTAAATTTTGAATTTACATTTCGCACCTATTACCACTTGAATTATCCCTTCAAATTAAAAAAAACAAAACAAACCTGAGGGTTTCAGTTCATCAAACATTGGTGTTGCCCATGGTGTTTGCATCAAAACAGCTAGAGAGAAAAGAAGGGTTTTGAGTTTTTAATAATTTTTATATTAGTATACACTTAGAGAACCCAAAAAGACTGGACGCTTTCATTTGCTAAAGGATATGAATAACTCAATCTCCAAGTTAAGAACATATAAATTCCTTTCTTCTTCCCCGTACCCTAGTATTAAAAAATGGTGGCTTTGTTGCTCCCAAAGGATTATCAATTTTAACCTATTTTTTTCACATATACTTGTTACTTAATTTGACCTAAATTCAAATTTAATATAATAACGAAAAAGTGTGTCATGTCATCAATCCCAGGATGTGACGCTTTTGGACTAATCTACTCCCAAAAACATTCTAAAGTCTAACCTATTGGTAAACAACTGTAGAGACATGACAGTGAAGAATAGAGCACACTAATTTACCCATAACATCAATTCCTCTCATTTACAACATTTGACATCATAAATCTCGCATGTATAAAAAGTCTACAACAATTTTCATACATTTTGGAACAATATCATTCCAACATAAACCTAACAAACTATAATTATGAACTAATCACTCTTAACTACGAAAAGGATCAGTCGAAGTACGCATAAATTGATTTAGATTCTTAACCATTGAACAAAAAAACAAGAGTCTACCAATATAAAAGCATATGTATTGTATTACAGCTAGGGAATGAAATTAAGAAAGAGAGAGAAAGATGGAATGGAACATAGGATGCTTCCTCTCATTTGTTGCTTTTTTAGCACATAGAGAGAGTGCCTTTTTGAAAACATGGACTCTTGTGACCCACTCTAGAAAAACCCCTAGATGTGAGTGCCCATTTCCCACAAGGCTACTACCACTTTTATTTTTGTCCACACTCTGCATTTCCTGAATTCCACATGTTATACTGTAGGTAAGGTGTTAGAAATGTAACTTTCTTCCTTGCATCTCCGTGACTCTGTTAACTGCATGTGGATTGTTCAACAGTTTGATTTCTCAAGTCTCAACCATACTTCACATTCTTCTATTTTTTTAGGGTGTTTGGACCATATTTTATAATTAGTTATTGTCTGTGTATAAAGGCACGGAATAATAAAAAATTATAAACAATAATATATTTATATTTATATCTAAAATTAAATCACAAATATAAAAAAGAGATAAATAAATTTAAACATTAATTTATAGTGGGGGTGAGAGGTGGTAGTGGCGGCAGTGGTGGTGGGGGTGGTGGCGACGTTAGTGGTGACATCGATGGCGTTGGTAGCGGTGGCGGTGGTAATGATGGTGGTGGTGACAGCGGCAATGGTAGTGGTGATAGAGGTAGTGGTGATAGTGGGACAGTTTCAAACACTATATTTTTTTAAGTATTTATGAGAAATAATTTGTAGAAGTACTTTAAAAAAGTCACTCCAAACACACCTTTAGGGGCCTATTTTTCTTATTAAATTTAGGGTGTTAATATTAGCCGATAGATTAATTTTAAAGTAAAATTTAAAGCGATCTCAACCGTAAATAACAAAAGTTATTTTATTTATATTTTGAAATTTAAATTATAAGTTATTTTATTATATAGATATTTGTGAATAAACAATAAAGACACTTGTCCACAAAGTGAGTATATGAAAATGGTAAAAGAAAGATACTTACACGAAGGCTCCTATTCCATAGGAGTGGGTGGTTATCTTGAAATTCAAAAGGCAACAATTATCAAAACTTGATTGGGCCTTTGAAACATGAAGGCAACAATCAAAGCAACAAAAGATAATGAAAGAAAATTGTCTGAAGCCTGTCCAACTGTCGATTAGAGGTGCCTATAAAAGAGACGTTAATTACAAAGAGGAGGACATGATCAAACCCATCAAATACTTACGATTCAGGCATTTTAGAAGTAATGGTTAGCATAGTTTTAGGTTAAGTATTAGTGTTGTAGTTAAGACTAATTCATCAGTCATTTATAATGAAGTTTCAATTAAAACTAATAAAATTGTTCTTCCATTTGTTAATCTTTATTGTGTCTTTTGTGCTTTGAACTTTGTCGATTAATTACATCCAAAAAAATCTTGAAATAAGAAAAATTGAACTCAAACCAAACAATTACCTAAAGTCATTATGTCGAAAGATTGCACCCGTTTTGGAGAAAATCTTTCATGCACTAACAATGGGGAACTTCCACTTCTACATAAGAGACGATTTTTAACTTGTTAGAATAATTCGGATGGTAAAGTCTCTCGCATATGATTGTTTGATGATCTCAAGTTCAAGTCTCACAAAAAATGTCTTGATTGACTTGATACACATAAATTGTGACCGATTGTCATGTACATGTTGAGTTTTGGTCATAGTGACGAAAACATGTAGTTGGGAGTGTTATTGGATATAAATAGGAAGAAATTGATTTCCTTTTTGTGGGTGAATTTAAAATTTTCATTTATTTTAAAGAATTAAACATCATTCATGCAAGTTCATCAGGTTCAGGTGTGACGCTATCTGTAATCCATCTCTCAATGACCATAATTCTGCTACATTGATAGCCTCTCTACTTTCTTTCGTAGCACGTAACTAAGGGTGATAATTTTCAAAGTGAAACGCTGACAAACCATGAAGTCAACGTGAAACTAGTTGTTTAAAACAGGATTGGGCATAGGTTCTAAATTCGAAAAGTCGAGTATTAATCAGCTTAGTGCATCAATCACATAGCACGACAAGCATTCAAAAACCTAGCGAATGATGGCCCATCTCCCCTCCCCCCCCCCCCAAAAAAAAAAAAAGAATGTTTATATCATAGGGGAACTCATGATTGGAAACAATCCTCGATAGAAATAATAAGAATCAAAGTCTAAGTTGGTTGGTGAACGTAGTGATACGAAACTATCTAGCTCACTTTGGAGAGCATTTATTGGGTTAAAGATTTTTTTGTTACTAAATGTTACAGCCCAAATGCTATACTATTAACCCTACTTGTTCGCATAGGTGTTCATCCCAAAGTGTTCCCATACCGCATGCATACGTCTGTAAGTAACTTGGTGCAACATGGCAAATTAGGGTTTTTGACACAAATTTAAATATTACTATCTTGAGATCTCAAATTCGAATTTCGTAAAAAAACACCTTAATCAACTTGATATACATAGTTAACCTTAAGGGTGGTTCAGTGATTGAATCTAATCTCTAGTAACTCAAAAGTCTCAAATTTAACACTTTTCATACTCCTAAACGTCAATCACCTTTGTTCCTCATGAGACATGTTCTAAACACGTTCGAACTAAGAAAGTTAGTATCTAAACTCGTGTGAGTAGCCGAAACAAGTGAGAACACCCTGTAACAAAAAAAAAGGTGACATGCAATGTGAGAAATATAGGGAAATAAAATGAAGCCAAAAAACTCTAAATAGTTTGCAGGTTTTTGTGTGTAATCCGAATTGATATTGTAGCCAAAAAACTCAAAGAATACACGGTTGGAATGATTTTTCTGTAGAAAAAAAAAATTAATAAAAATTTTTTGAATTCCCGAATGTGAGAGAATAGAGAAAGAAAATGAAGGGCTTTATGAATAAAATAAAATAATATTGTGGACACCATCTTTCATAATGTGACACAATCAGAGTCATTAGATATTTAAAAAATTATGTGAGAGTTATTAATCTAACAGTCTATGTTGAAGTGGTGTACAGAGATGATATAAGAAGGTGGTGTATGTAACATTATTAAAAGAGAAATACTATATAATTTATATTTATATTCTAAATGAACGGAGATCATTTGATGAATGAGTTCTATCAACTTTTTTAAATAAAAATCACTAGTCAATAATCTTTATTAATTTAAAATACAAATTTAAATTATAAATTTAGATTACGTATCGTTACTCTAAAA